ACTGCTATGAAGAACTCGACAGAACAGATATGACATTCAGATATCAAGATGACTATAAAAAATGAGCTTTCACATCCCCAAATTTGTATCTCTCCGACGAATATGAACCTACGGAGTCTCTCACCTTGTTGACACAGGATAGATTTCAAATCAGCATCTTCATATGTCCTTACTTCATACAATATACAAATGAATCAATAACCAGCCTGGGATTATTTAAATTATCATACATTTTGAATTATGGGGTTTGCCAATTCGATGAATCAAAGAATAACCGAATCGACAGGTGCTTTGGACAAGTTTACTGTAATTGTTCGCAATTATGAATACTTAAAGGGTTTCAAAGATGTGGACGACGGTAACTGTATATGTGGTGAAAGTAGTGTCCCTTAGCCGTGAATTTTTCTGGCCAGAGTTCAGAAGGAATTGGTTTTCTAGCCTTTTCCATTCAGGAGCCCTAGGAAAATTTATCTCTCGTAGGAGAACCCTTTTGGTGAACTTAACTAAGCACCCAACTTAGTACACGCAACTGATATTCTTTTAATCAACTCAATCACTGTTTAGTGACTCAAGAAGGTCTGATGAAAAGGTAGAACAAACCAAAACGGGATAAATTTTCCAATTACCATGTAACTGATCAACTTATCCCCACAAAACCCATCCGGTACCAAACACCTGCTCCCACACACACACATGTAGAAACAAACTCAAGCACACACAAATCCGGATACACCAGTGCATGTATAAATGAAATACCTCACTATTTGAGGATGGGCATTTATAGTTGAATACGTCAGGAAAAAATGAGAGGGCTGTCGGGGAGAGGTTGTTTAAGTCCAATTTAAATTAAGTGACGAAAAAAGCAGAGGAACTTTATAAGGCTCGATCCAAAAACTTCGAGATTTCAATACAATTGAATCACTGCCCTCACCATATGAAAAACGTTTTCATTTTGGTGGGGGACGCAAAACCTACGACTGTTTGGTGCTGTCATTGTCTATACGGTCTGAAGCAAGATGTGGGCAGGGAGCACGCCCCTACCTTTTTGTTGGTCATTGTTTGATCAGAATCTCAGGAATTCTTTTCAGATATCTAGGGGGGTGCGTTAGGTAACAATAGTTGAGAGTGTGTATAAGGATTGAACACGTAGGGGGGTACCGCTCCGTCCCATACCTTGCTGGGTATAAAGGTCTGTGGCTACAAACAGTAGTTACATGTATAGTTCGGCCATGATGCACATGTTTGTCCACTACGAACACAGGGCGAGGGCTTTCCTCGTTTTTTGTTTTCTCGGAATGACGCAATCTACATTCGAAATTTGCCTCTTGGCAAGAACAGAAAAAACCTTTTGAGCTTGTTATAGTTGAGCTCTGAAGACAAATAACACTACTCCACAAGATGGAGACTGGGTTGGGTTTTACCAAACATTTTGTGTGACTTTTTCCAGCCAACGTTCGTCTTGTTGGCGGCAGTAATGTAAATAGAGGCCGGCTCGAAGTCTTCCTTGAGGGAAAATGGGGCATGGTTTGCGGCAACTCATGGGGACTAAAGGAAGCTACGGTAGCTTGCCGAGAGATGGGCTTCCCCAATGCTACCATGGTTACCAGAGGCAGGTCTCCTGGTAATGAAACGCAGAAGATCCACCGATACGATGTCATGTGCTCTGGTCTTGAAAATGATCTTGAAAGTTGTCAGCGTAACATGACAGGGATACATACCTGTGCACTTGACGAAGATGTAGTGATTGAATGCACTGCAAGAGGTAAATGAATATATTTTAAAGACAGTGTTTAGGATTTGCAAGACCTCAAAAACGGGACTCTCGAATTATCTTGAAATTTCTTAGTGTAAAGTAAATAAAATAGTGTCAGACAATCTTCGAAATCTTACTACCAGGAAATCTTTACATTTTCAAGAAAAGGGTAATTTATTTTGTCCGGAGGGACAATCTTTGGAAAATACGATTCTTTCAAATACTGCGACCATGATGTAGCACTGAGTTGTTGGAAGAGTCTATATTAACAGGTAATATACAAACTGCCAACGCGCCTTCGGTAGGCCTAAACTCATTTTTACCTATTAAAAGCATTATAATCATAACCAACAGCCTAAAAAATTTTGACTGGTTCGAAATCAAAGTTTCGTTATGAAACTTCAGAAGTTTACTTCAGGTTATGAGGCAATTTTTAGGCTGTTGGTTATGATTATGATATTAATATCACCCCCTATGATAATGGTATGGTCCGAATTGATCATGGCCGCTCCTTCGGAGCTATAGCGATGCCTGGGTTTCTCGAACAATATTTCCAATTTCCAGACATTTCACTTTCTGTTTTTCCTATTACAGTAACTCTTATGCATAAAATGCAAGGAGAGTTGCCACATCTGTTGGTCTACAAAGTGTTTATAATGGGCACTGACGTTGTGGGAACGGTTTTTCACCGAAGTACAAGGCTACGTATGAAGAGTAAACAGTACGGTCGATCGTGCTTGTATACATGTACATGTACTGTACATGTGCGTTTTGGTGGCGCAGTATGGTACCTGCAGTTCACTGCACTATTACATGATGTTCATTTGACAAATTCTGAGCTTTGCATTGTTGAAGAAAGAAAAAAAGAACGAGGAGGTAAAATTGTCAACGGTCGGCCACTATTACTGCGCAAGACCAAAGGGAAAAATGCATTGTTGAGGGCCATGATTAGTCTGCAGATCAACCTCGTTTTGCACTGTCCATGGCACTCAGGAACGTCCTGTGGCCCATGGATTTTTACGAGACAAATCACACGAGCTGGGCTTTCAGTGTTTAAATTAGCAGCGTTTTCTCGAATTTTCCTCAAAGCAATAGACTCAAAAAATGAAACAGGTCCTTAAAATGATACTGTTCGCAATGTAAATCAACCCCCCCCCCAAATTAGCAAGTTTTAACAAATTGCAGTGCATGCAAATCCTATACACTCACTGCCTTAATAAGAAGAATTGTCTATGGCCCAGGGAGTGGCCAATGATAATAAATTAGCAAATGAGAATGGCGATACAAGTATTGTTATTCTGACATTTTCGGCTAATTTGATAAAATTTAATTTGCCAAGTGATTGTAAATTCCCAACTTCCTAACAACACATTACGAAAACACCTCAACCCGAAGCGATTTATCGGTTTGAACCCCTGGCAAAAGATGTTTGTAAAGTACTGATTAAACATACATGCAACTATTCTTTATTATGTCTTATATTACAAATAAGGAATTCCCCTTATCATATCAATTATCGGTAAACTATTTGTCCGTGTTAAGTCCCAACTAAAGCATCTGTCCCAACTATAAATAGGACTGTCCCATCTTTAGTGCTGCAGTTGGGCCGGCCCAACTATTGTTGGCAAATTTCTATCTAAAATTTCTCAAGCTTCTTCAAGCTCATGAAGCTCAAGCCTGGCATAATCCCTTTAAAGTATGGCACCTCTGTGTCATAAATAAATACTTCTGCATGCGCAAGTGGTTAATGTAAACAAAATGACTTCGGCTCATGCTGTACGTTGCATATATCACGAATGTTTCAGAGGGAAATTATTAACTGCGCATGTCCCGTTTTTAGGGTCATTTGCATGCGTACTAAGGGCCATGGGAATTCGCAACAGGCAAACAGCTGCTTCATTTCATGAAATTTACATTTATTTTCACTTTATGGAAATAACAATTCCTGTCCAAAATATTTTCCTGGTAAGATAAGGCCTTTTTCTAACGTGTTTTGTGAAAATAAAATTGAGAAATAGTATCAGAGTGGTCAAAACATGATTTTGTGGACAGCTCTTTTCGTAAGCAGTAGTTTGTTTACGTTCTGATGCGATTTTTGAAGGCTCAAAACAAAGAATCCGAAGTTTTCCAGAAATTTTCAAAAGTGGGCTGTGGTAGAGAAAGGTGTGAAAGTGTTGCATTAGCTTACAGTTTTGCGCAATATTTTTTGTTTTGTCTTCGATACGCGTTTGCGTATCGACCTAACTCAGCACCGATTCCGTTCATCATTAAATACACCGCAGTACGGCCTTGCGAGCATAAGAATTTAGTGACTCGGGAACGAAAGACGAAGTCAAATGTACAGTGAGTTAACGTGAAGTTTATTATTGAAACCGAGGTCTATTTGTCACCATAACAATGCCAGGAAAATGTTGAAAATCACGATACATATCCCCACTTTTACATGTACTATACACGCATGAATCACATGAATATGTACACCGGCTCCGTTGAGTATTTCTATGTGCATGTACATGTACATAATACATGTACATGCACATGTACGCCGCGGTACGCGAGCAACACAGGGTGCAGTCCTAGTGTACTGTGCACGGTGCGTAGCTGGATCGTACGGAAGCGTATAAGGGCCACTTGCAAAAAAAATTTTCGAGATACTATCTCGCCGCAGCCATTTACTATCTCGCCGGGGCGAGTTATTATCTCACCGCGGCGAGTTAGCTTAAATAGCTTAACTTGCTGCACATTAACACTCGGCTAAATACAAGACCCATTTATTCTGACTACTTTTCTAATCAAGGGTCCTGTATCACCCAATGTCCACGTGACAACACTCCCCCAAATTTCCGGGAATAGTCCAACTATTCCGAACTTATCCTGTCCGTTCAGTTTAACGTCAACACTTTTCCATTAATGGTCCTCAAAATTGCAAAAATTGTAAAAATTGTTACAAAGATTAAAATAAATAAAATTGGTAGCCAAATGAGTAAAGGGAGAAGAAAAAGACCATTCGGATTGCATCGGTAATATTCGGGGATTTCCGGCCACGTCTGTCCAAGAATTTTGTGAAATGTCCGGGTTATAACGGTCGGAGTACTCCCCACGAAGCAGAACTAGGGTCGAAAAGACTGGAACATCTTTTGGAAAACCATTTTTTTATTGAACGTGTTTTAAAGCGAATGTCATTTTTAAAAACTTTGTAATTTAGAAAAAATGTTGTGAAAACTTCGTTAGAATAATCTTGGAAAAATATGCTTCACCTTTTCCAAAAATATACTTGAAGCACTATATGGCTTTTGCAGAATATCGTTTAAAAGATCGAATACTTTTAATACGCGGCTTTGGATGCTTTCTCATCTCGGATGCATTCTCAGATCAGATAATTTCTCAATTCAAATGATTTCTTAATTCGGGTAAAGTGAGGTTTCTGTAAATAGATAAGCCGTTACCTTGTAAATTATTTCAAAATTTCGACAAAATGTTTACATAATTTTTTAAAATATTTTTAAAGAATGTCAAAGTTTACAAATTAATTCAATTCTAAAGATTACGTGGCATTAGGTCACTCGATTAGGAATCTAAAAAAAGATATGAGATCGAGCTTTTAGAAAATGACATTTGCTAAAAACACATTAAATTTAAAACTAAAATGCATTCAATTTAACAAAAACATGTTCCATTTTTTTACCCTAATTGTACTTCGTAGTTGATGGCCCTTATACGCTTCCGTACTTATACGCTTCCGTGGGATCGATTTTGTGCATGTAAAATACGTATAGATCGCGCTGTGCGGAAGTATCGAATACAATTCATGAAAGTCGAACAAAAAAACTAGCTACATAGAACTGATTGTATTGTGGCCTGTCGTATGCAGTGTCTCACTGTTGGGGGAAACTTCTAGAATTGAGAAATTTAGTGATAAAAAAAGACCGAGTGATCGATTGAAAATGGAAATAATTTATCATTTTGGCAACCGCTTTGAGGCTAAATGTCACATTTATGTAGCATTTCTTTTCATGATTCTGTAGTGTTTTATTCGGTTTAAGCCTTCTACCTCACATACAAAGAGTTCCAATGTGATCATTTGTTAACTTTGTGCAAACGAAGTCTTCAAAACGAGAAGGCTCAACAGAGAATTGGAAAGTTGCTAAGGACATTTCTGGGTGGTTCACGAGGGTCCGGTGAAGTAACCGGCGCGCACGGTCGAAGTCGTTAATTTCCACACGTTGAATGGGGTGAAACATACGTGATATACATGTACATGGTACATGTACACACTGGACATTTGTGCCGTAATTCGAACGTCCTGACTATAGCACTATAGTACTATAGTTGGAACTGTCCAGTTGGGACAGATGCTATAGTTGGCGCGTAGTAGCACTTTGGGCATTGTACGAAGGTACAGTGCTTGAAATACGTCTGTACAAGAATGTTCTTTTCAGATATTGATCAGAATAACAATGATGTGTGTTTTACGTTTTCATAATGAAATATATGAAGATCAACTTCCCCCTTGACTGGTACATTCCATCCGTGTCTTCATGCTATTCTTATCATTGCACTCACGTGCACTCAGTTGGCTTAACCATCGCCAGCATTTTCTGAATATGTTTAAGTTCGTTTAGCCGACGGTTCAAGCATGACGATTGGACGTGTTGAGGTATATGCTAACGGTGCCTGGGGAACCGTCTGTGATGATCATTTTGACCTAACAGACGCCTACGTCATCTGCCAGGAGCTGGGCTTTGGACGAACAGTTCAGTTCTTACCAGGAGCTCCTTTCGGCCAAGGTGATGGGTTGGAGATAATGATGGATCATCTTAGGTGCGAAGGAGATGAAAAGACAGTGTTTGAGTGCAGACACAATGGACTCGGGATTCACAACTGTGATCATCGTGAAGATGCCGGTGTACAATGTGGTATGTTAGTAATTTGTGTCTCTGGGTTGAACCCTGCTGTGACCTTCAATTGCCCGTGATGTTACTCTTTGTGCTCCTCGTTTTCTAGTTTTTGTTCGCTCAAAGTTTTGTTCGCTCAAAAGTGCGAAGCTATGTACAATTTCGCTATTTTTATGCTGAGTGCCGATCTACTTCATCACTGACCTGGCTGGTCAAGTCAGCCTGTTGGGATTTACATCTACACGAGGCAGGGTATTCATTTACTCTTCCTTTCATATGTCTTTTTTTTTAATTTCCAGCAACTCTTTATATGGGGATTGTGGTGACGCCGGTCTTATAAGCCCGTTATTATTAATTTTTGAGCATAGATTTTCTTCCTAATGGTTTCAATTTCCTACATGGATGTCCTCTGCACCCTCAAATCATTAAATCCGAAAAAAGGGAAAAGGTAGTGAGCTTTGACCCAGGCAAAGGACATTACCCAGGCAAAGACACTAAGCTTCTAAGAGGCTGGACAGCCTTCAAAAGGTCGATTATGGGTCACAGGCAAGGCCTGGGCAAGCCAGGCACCAGTTGATTTTAAAAAAACAAAACAAAACAAAAAAAACCCAAAACAGGATGTCTCCCATCTGGACGGTGTTTGTACACAGTTGAATGGCACTTGGCCAGGGACCGGTTGTTTTTTTTCCCTGCTCAGGGGAGGCCCCGTAGTTAAAGGTGACTAAAGCAGGCTGTGCAGCACGAACGGAGGTAGAAGTAAATGGGAGGTGATTGCAGTTGGCCTTTTTTTTCTCTCTCTTTCTTTTTGATCAAATAATTAGCAAAAATGGCGTACACAGGAGACGACTCTAGTAAGGGAATTTAGCGCAACGGTGCATGTTTACTTTATTGAAGTCGACATCATGCCGGTCGCAGGAGTTATGTAGTAGCACCTTGTTTAAAAGACCGCTGTATTTGCATCTGTTGCTTTGAAACATTTTGTATATAATTATGTAGCTGCAACCAATTTGCCCTGTTTTCACAGGGAAACCTTCGTCGTGCATACCCCGTGAAACAAAAGAAATGGCCTGGAAAATGACATGCAAACCCCCCTTACCCAGGATTCACTGCATTAAATTGTTTGTACGTTTGAAGAGGCTTCATACACAATAATATTATTTGCAATTTCTTAGTAATGAATCTGTACAGCCCTCAAACTCATACAGTCTTAAAGCGGACTTGTTTATTCCTTTAAAGATAAACAGGAACTGGAAGCAAAGAACGTTGCAAAATCGAAATGTTAGGCAACATCCGATGTTCTCAATCATGCAGAGAATGCAGGCGGAAAGGTTGACAAGCCGGAAAGTTTTGACCGTTACACCAGCCTGTGGGAAAGTGGGTAGAAATTAGCCCTTTGAGACAGGCTGACAGTTTTGGCACTAAAAGCGCAAACATTTTAGAAAACAGTGCGTCGTCTTAAGAAAAAAGTCACAGTTGAATTTAAACCTTACCTATTTTCTAGGCACTAAACTTAAGAAATGAAGACAGACTTATTGTAAAGAAGGCTTTTCAAATATTGTATTCTTATTAATCGGTAAACTGTAAATTTTCCTTCACTTATAGTGCTGTTTTTATCTTGTATTCCAAGCTAATGTACGTCTAGTTGATGGTTTTAACGGTAATGAAGGTCGACTGGAAGTCTTCCTCGACGGTGAATGGGGCACGGTTTGTGGCCACTCATGGGGACAACCGGAAGCTACGGTAGCTTGCCGACAGATGGGATTCCCTAATGCAACCATGGTGATGAGAGGAAGGATTTTTGGAAGTAGTAAACAGAGGATTCATCGATACGAGATCAGCTGCGCTGGTGTTGAGTATGATCTGGAGAGCTGCATCTTAAAGGAAACAGGAATTGGCTTTTGTACCCATGACGAGGAGGTACAAATTGTATGTGCTCCACGAGGTAAATAAAGTTCGTCCATGCATTTCTACATAGTCTATAAACACATAAGTTGTAACGTTGACATGGGTCAACGGGTGTCCTAGTACGAGGATTTGCTCTTTATGATAATATATTTGTTTTCAAGTGTTAATTGAAGTCCTGTTATTTCAGACCTTTTCAAAACATAGTAAGCATGGAACTTTTTGTAGAATGTATAATTCATGGTCAGTATAGATATCATCAAAAATAGTATTTGGAACCTTCTTCCGTTCTTAATGAGACAAGAGATGACGTGGTTTTTAGAAAGCTGCATTTGCTGAACACGTGCAGCCAGTTCTTGTTGGAATATACAACTTTCGTAGTCACTGGGCGCCTAGAAGCTACCGATACGACTACCCACCATTTAAAACAAATTCGAATTTATAGAGAAAGCCCTGTTCGGAACAATTTCGAAATGAATTATGGTGCTTCCTGTATCACTTCGCAGTTTTAGCGTCGAATATGTGTGGTCATGGGCACAAAAGAAGGGGAAAACGAAGTCTGGTGAAGCACGCTTGCATAATTATGTTGTGGGTAGAAAAAAAGGATTAGTATTTTGGGTGTTCTTGGTTCGTATCTCGGACAACTCGTTTCAGGATCTTTCCTGTTGGAAAACATCAATTTTTAAGGTTGTTTCATATATTGCCAGAATGTGTAGCCCTGAACTCTATTCAACGCATTCTCAATCAGGTAAATTGCCATGATATATTTCGGCCCTTAGCTTCGGTCATTCCTTTCCTTCTTCGTTTCCTTCTTAATACTCTGGCTTCGTGGGGAGGAAGCATCAAGATAGGTTCGATGAGAATGAAGAAGACACCCAGAAGCTCATCGACAAGCTGCACAAGGCCCACAACGATCACCTTGACGGTAAGATCTGCAGCAAGATAAAACAGGACTATCAGTAGGCGAGGCAAATTCTCTAGCAGAAACTGCAGAAGGTGAAGAACGACTGGGGGAGAAGAGGGCTTAGGAGCTACAAGCAGCGGCCGAGAACCATGACATGAAGACACTTCATGATGGCCTTCGCACTGTTCACCCACCCAAGGCATCTGGTTCAACCCCAGTAAAATCTTCTGAACAGTCCACCCAGCTGTCAATGGACGACCACCCGAGAGTAAAGCCGAGGTTGCCAAAGCTTTGAAGCAGACAACACCTGGAAAGGTACCAGGACCAGATGGAATCCCTGCTGACATTTACAATGTTGGAGGCGACCTGCTCCTCCAGCGACTGACGTCCTTGTTCAGGACCATCTGGGAAGCGGGGGAAGTCCCACAAGACTTTAAAGATGTATCCATAGTTCACATCTACAAGAAGAAAGGAGACAAGACTTCTTGTGACAATCACCGCGGGATATCACTCCTGTGCATCGCTGGGTAGGTTCTCGCTAGGGTCATCTTCAACAGACTCACCAGGCACGTCGCTAAGAACATCGTCCCTAAATTGCAGTGCGGATTTCACGCAGGCAGGGGCACCACGACATGGTTTTGCTGTCTGTCAGATACAGGAAAAATGTCGTGAGCAGGATCGAGAGTTTCACCTGGTGTTTGCAGATCGCACCAAGGCCTTCGATACCGTGAACCGGAACGGCCTGTGGAATATTTCGCAGAAGTTTGACTGTCCAGACAAACTCACAGCTCTGATTGACTCCTTCCATGACGGCATGCAAGCCCAAATTCTAGAGAACGGTGACGCCTTGGATCCCTTCCAAGTGAGCACCGGAGTGAAGGAAAGCTGTGTCCTTGCCCCGACCTTGTTCTCCATTCTGTTTGCAGCGATGCTGCTCAACACCTTCAGCACTGTGACAGAGGAGTGAACGTCCAATTCCGTACTGATGGGAAATGTTTCAACCTGCGAAGACTCCAAGCCAAAACCAAAGTGCTAGAGGCCATTCTGCGCGAGTTCCTCTTTAAAGGCGACTGTGTGCTTTAGCTGCATACTCCCAAGAAGACATGCAGTATATGACCGATTGCTTCTCAGCTGCCTGCAGATTTTTGGACTGACGATAAGTCTTGGAAAGACTGGAGCCATGTTTCAGCCCTTACCATCACAGGCTGCCAATGCACCACAACCTCCTTCCATCGCCATCAGCCATTTAGAGAACAAGACTATGGACAAGGTTTGCTACCTATGTAGCCCCGTTACGAGCAGTGGATCTTTGGATGCAGCGCATTGAAAAGGCAAGCGTGGTCTTTGACCGATTAACAGAGACACGGCATCCGACTTTCTACCAAGAATGCCGTGTACAGAGCTGTGTGCTAAGTACACTTCCCTATATTGTTGCGCGACGTGGACTACCTACCGCCGGCACATCCAGCAGCTGGAGCAGTTTCACCAACGATGTCTGCGGAAGATATGCAACATCAGGTGTCGGGACAGAATGTCCAACCCCCAGGTCTTGGAAAAGTATGGCCTCCCCAGCATCGAATGCTTGATCTTCAAGTGCCAGCTGAGATGGGCAGGATGTATTTTCCGTATGGAAGATGACAGAATTCCAAAGATGCTGCTGTACAGACAGTTGAAGCAGGAGCGCCGTGACCAGGGAAGACCCTTCAAGAGGTACAAAGACACCCTGAAGGCAAACCCCAAGAGCTGCAACATCGATGTGAACTCTTGGGAAGCAACTGCCCACGAGAGAGCTCTTTGGAGGCACCGGTGTACACAAGGCACAAAGGCCTTTGAAGCCAACAGAGCTGCTGCAATTCAGGCAAAGAAGGAGAGAAGGAAACAGAGTTCCTCTTCTGTGGATTCGTTCCCTTGCCGCATTTGTGGCCGGTTGTATGCGTCACGAATCGGTCTTCATTCTCACATGAAGTCCCACGTCAGCAATGACCTGTCTGCCTACTCATCTGTCGCATCGACAGGAGAATCCATCATTTTGGCCCAGTTCCAAACTGGATCATTTCTCCATAAAAGTCTCGTTTGTTAATGGATGTAGGCTTTGAAGGTTTGGTGTGCCACAAGTTAGAACGAGTAGTTATTTTTTATTACGGGCAGTTGTGAAGGAACTGAACTTTTTGTCTTTTGTTGTGTTTAGTATACTGAAAACGTAACTTTTTTCATAGCGGGTTCAATAAAGTTTTAAATTTACAAATGATGACGGTTCGTGATCAAAATGCACAAGTACTGAAGTTGTTTGACCCCTCAATTAATGCGTTTTTTCGGGGGGAATTGACCGGCCTGGACAGAATTCTCTGAAGTTATTCCTTTCTGAAATGCCATCAAAATACCTAGAAAATATTTCTCACAACCTGTCTTAAATTTAACTTAAGTTCGTTTAGCTAACGGTTCAAGCACCATGGAAGGACGTGTGGAGGTATATGCCAACGGTGCCTGGGGAACAGTCTGTGATGACCAATTTGGCATTAGAGACGCCTCTGTCATCTGTCAGGAACTGGGCTTTGGACGAGCAGTTCGCTTTCTAGCAGGAGCTGCCTTCGGCCAAGGTGATAGGTTGGACATAGTGATAGATGATCTTGAGTGCAAAGGAGATGAGAAGACAGTGTTTGATTGCAGACACAATGGACTTGGGACTCACAACTGCAGACATCTTGAAGATGCTGGAGTACAGTGCAGTGAGTGAATCAGTGAATTGATTAAATGTCATATCAACATGATCATGATATTTCCCAGTAATTCATTGCAACATAAGGTCAAGATTTTGTGGTACATAAGGAGCAAATAAAAGCCTTGCCAAAGAAGGAATATAACTGGCATTAAAAGACAGGAGTGCCTACTCTGTACGATTTACTTTGAATAAATAGTGAAAACTGCAGTGGTTGTTACTATGTTATTCCTTTTAAATGTAACTTAATTCAGTAATCAAAAAGAGCCATACGACTTCATTTAGAGTTTCATCAATTATCGTATTGCTACCAAAGAAAAAGCTAAAATAGAAATACAACTACAAAATAAAAACAGCTAAGAGCTTTTAGATTTTCTTTGACCAAATGTCATTGTTTTCATATTTGCATGTGACCTGTATGTGAAAATTATGGAATGTTTTTAATTTTCGAAGCCTTCCATATTTAGTGTATACAGAACGATCCTTTGTGAAAATACTAGCGAAAACATTCCCTTTCAGAGTAAAGTGGTTTCAGAACTTTCAATATACATGTATATTAAATTAATCTAAAATAATTGAAAAGTTAATGCAACTGAGCAATAGTATTTGTTGAAATAGAAACAATTTTACATGTAGATTTGACATTGATTATGCTATCGTATCCACAATGCCCAAAAATGCTTTTTCGAAAATACTACTTGGTACTTATTATTAATAAAGATGTAAACGTTGACAGTCAGCCTGGTTAGAGAACCCGTACGAGTAAATAAGAATCACCATTAAATTAAATCTTTAAAAACATTACTGATTCAATGTTTCTGTGAAAATGACAAGCCTGTCATCTTTTTTGTTCAGTGACAAAAAATTGATTTTCTCTTTTAGTCAGTGTTCGTCTGGCTGGTGGGAGTGATGTAAATGAAGGCCGGCTTGAAGTTTTTCTTGACGGTAAATGGGGCACAGTTTGTGGTAACTCGTGGAGACGGGAGGAAGCAACGGTGGCTTGCCGGCAGATGGAGTTTCCTAATGCCATTGAGATTGCACAAGGAGAGTATTCTAACAACAGAAGCTTGCCGATTCATCCGCACAAGTTTGTGTGCACTGGCGTTGAAAACAGCCTAGAGCTCTGCCAACGTGTCGGGCGAAACAATAATTGTAGTTATAGTGAGACGCTGGGAATAGTGTGTGCCAAAAGAGGTAACTTTACCTGTCATTTCTGTGTACTGGTGTCTAGCTCTACATTAATAATTGAATTGGTGTACCATTCACTTGTAGTTTATGGAAATTATTCGCAACAAATTTTGTAGATAAACGTTTACTGTACTGTTTGTTGCTTGTCTTAAATGATGAAGGGAAAACTCACTTCATTTTATATGCAATGGGACTACCTTGAAATAAACTTAATTTCATTCAAATATTGAGATCGTGGAATTTTCTTTAAATGCATGAGAAGCCTGTTTGTGTTACATATAATTTGAACTTCCTTTGATTTGGATTATTTATCTTTACAGTTCGTTTGGTGGATAAAATCAATGCTAACGAAGGTCGCGTGGAAGTATTTCTGGAAGGGTCCTGGAGGAAAGTCTGTGATGACAACTGGGACCTGACTGGCGCTTCGGTCGTGTGCAAGGAACTGGGATTCGAAGAAGCTCTCTCAACAACTGCCGTCCTTCAGAGGGGTGTTGAACACGAGGTTGTGACGGCTTACAGTCTGAATTGTGTAGGCTATGAGGAGGCAGTGATCCAGTGCCATTATAAAGCTTCATGGAATTGCTTTCTCGAGGAAGCTGCCGAAGTTAGATGCGGTGAGGTTGTATTTCATGGGTTTGTTTTGCATTGCACTGGTTTATTAGTCACTGCTGAAATTTATTACCATTCGAATGAAGCAGGGAACGATTTTTATCTCGTTTTAATTGAAATCAAGCAATTCTTCCCTAATAAACATCTAAAAAGGTCGGCAATACATCTTGTAAATCAATATTTTTCGAGATCAAAAACTAAAACATTTATGTAAACAGCTTCCAAATGTAGGCTTAACCCTGACACCGGAGGAGTCTTGATGATTGTATCAGACCAGCGGGCTGTCTTCCATCCTGGTGACTCTGTTGAATACGAGTGTCTGGACGGATACTATCTCAGCGGCTCTCCTAAAAGGCTTTGTCGGTCAGACTTCACGTGGTCTGGGCAACCAGCGGTATGCCACAAAGGTAGTGTCAAAAATCAAGTTGAATTCGATGTATATTCATGCAGATTGACGTTGTTCGTCGTCACCCGAGATTGTTTTATGTATATTAAATAATTATCTTTAATGTTTCTCTCTCCATCGGTTAAGATGTCTGTGTCAGCAGACCGTGTATAAACGGTGGAAACTGTTCAAGCACGCCCTCTGGATTTACCTGCCAGTGCCCTGCTGGCTACGAAGGGCCAGCGTGCGAAATGGGTAAGAAACGCGTGCTGCTCCAAACGTTATATTATTAAAACATATGTATTAAAACTCCAAACACCAATGTAGCTGAGGAATCACACAGAGAATGTAGTTCTTGTGTAATTTTGTCTGACATCATTTTGCTTTACTAGTTGCTCACTGCGTTCTTGCGCTCAACGAGTCGGATCGGCTGATGGTTGAATCAGGCCAGCAGGCTGTCTACCTTCCTGGTGACTCAGTTGAGTATGACTGCCCGGCTGGATATCAGCTCGATGGGCCAGCTACGAGATTTTGTATGTCAGATCTCGTATGGTCGGGACAACAGCCCTTATGCAGAGACGAAAATCACGCTATTGGTAAACACTTTATTCCTAAAAGAAATATAGGTTTTTGTGAAAATGCCTCTCAGTCCAGCAGAAGTTCCCGACACATATCTTTTTAACAATTAATTTTATATTTATCTATAGGGAAGAAAGGCATACCACTCGTGGCGATTGCAAGCGCAGCAAGCAGTTTCATCATTGTCGTGGTTTTGGCTTGCATCATTCTTCGCAAGAGGTAAAATTCTACTAAAGAGACGTGAAAAGAAATGAAATGTTTTAAGTCGATTGAGTGATTTCAGGACTCGCTAAAATTCCCTTGTTTGCGATCTCTAATATCTCCTTGTCTATCTATGCCCAAAACTGAGCCTGGTTCTTTTCCTTCTTTGAAACTGTATGTGCTATTATATTAGTCATAAGGTATCAATTTTGTTATACATTTTGTGGGTTTAAAAATATTTATGTCGAAACCCTCTCCCTCTTTCTACTTTTTTCTTAAACTTTGTAATTAAAGGTGGAAAGCCTTTCCCGATCAGCCCTCTGCAGTTCGAGTTGCTGGATTTGTCCGGGAGAAATCTTGTGGCCAATCAGCTTTGCAGGATTTGCCAGAGTACACTGATCTGGCCTCTATATACGTGTCCCAACCAATGGGTGAACCCTCTTTGAAGACAGATCATTATAGGGTGCCTACCAATAAGCAACCACCTCCACTACCTCCGCCGAGGACTGACGAGGATTGCGAGGGTTACATGCTAATGAAACCTATAATGGTGCACTCTGAGAAGCAGTGCTTCGATGGGAAAGTATGCTTCGAATCCTTGAATGTGTGAGAATAGAACAGGAAATTATCAATTAACAAGTGTTTGGGGCTTCAATTAATTTTGATTTCGACTATGATGAAACAGGTCAAGTAAAACAATGCATGTTCCATCAAAGCTTCATTGGACCATATTAAGCAAACAAAGTCACAGTTATTTCTAATTGACTTGATTGTAGTTACAATGCATCTTGCTGGTCATAGCCAAGAACAAGGTTCGGCTTTTTGCCAGGCCCACATTCATCATAAGTTCTGGCTCTGTATATCTTTGTATTGCTTTTTTTTTGTCTTGATTCATTGTCACAAGGGTGATGTTTGGAAAAAGTAGGCGTAGATCTGTACGCTATCGTATAGGAAAATGATGCTTTTTATCACTTACCTTATTCATCAATAAAGGCATAATCAAGAAAGGTATAACCTCCATTTGAAGCAGTGGCATCGACAATAGGCCCTGCAGTTATCTCGCTGCCATATATATGTCTCTTGAAGTGCATGTATAATTGGGTTCCAAACTTGAATCTATATGGGCATAATTGGTCAAATTTCAAAAGGCA